GTTGACTTCCATAAAGACTTTCTACTTATTCTTGGAGCTTCCAGATTGCCTAGTTGTTGCTTAACGCCTCAACCACACAAAGCCCTTTGGTGTTTAGGAAGGGCCCTGGCAGTTCTTTCCTCTGCCTAGAAGACCCTTCCCCCAAAGCATGCTCCCTCACTTCATTCAGGTCTGTTCAAACGCCACCTCATTAGAAAGGCCTTTTTTCCTTTCACCACATCTAAAGTGGAGAGGGGTTCAGGAGCTGATGGTGCTAATACCTACTCTGCTTAATTTTTCTTCAAGGCACTTTTCTCTCTGAAATTAATTACCTATTTTGTTGCCTTGGTTTTGCTTGTCTCCTCCACTAACATGTAAATTCCTTGATGGCAGGGCATTTATTTAGACTGTTTTGTTCCTAGGAATTAGAACATCACTTGGCATGTAATAGGTGCGTAATGAACATCTGTTGACTGACCAAGCACATGTATTGCAAACTTATGGCCTAAGGGTAGCATCGAACCCCTGTTTTTGTTGTTATTGGAGCTTCTTTGTGTTTTATCTTCATAAAGAAGTTATGTGACATACTTCAGAATGCCAGATTTTTCACTTTCCTTGAAAATCAAATCTGCTACCTCCAGGTCTTTATTTTTGTGTGGGGACAATGAAGTGGATTGAGCTCTGGGAACTACATTCTCCAGTTTGTCACAGTCTTCACCTGTTTCTGTCAAGTATTAGAAAATCAGACTTGTGCCATTTACTATTTGTCATTTTGCCTGTTCTCTTATGTTTTCTTAGACTTGGCCCATCTTATTTATGTCACCTGCCTGGTCTCTGTAAAGCACTTAAATTAACAACCTGTGTTGCAAGTCTCAGTTATTTACAATTTCTGTGAGGTTATACATCCATGCAAAACTAGTGTACAAATGTTTGTAGGAGAATTATTCATAATAGCCAAAAAGTGGAAATAACCTGTCCTTAAACTGATGGATAAAAAATGTGATATATCCATACAATGGAGTATTATTTTAAAAAATAAATACACTAAAACTAAAAATAAAAAGGAATGAAGTCTGATTTGTGCTACAGCATGGATTGAACCTTGAAAACATTGTCCAGAGTGAAAGAAGTCAATCCCAGAAGACCATGCATTAGTATTCTTCAGCTCATATGAAATGTCCAGAATAGGTACCTCTACAGAGACAGAAAGTAGATTAGTAGTTGCTGTAGGGCAGGGTGGTAGATCGGAGACTGACTGCTAATGAGGATAAAGTTTCTTCTAAGGAGAGACAAGAGAGTTCTAAAAATAGATTGTGGCAATGTTGCAAAACCTGTGAGCTGAATTGTACACTTCAAACAAGTTAATTAAATGGTATTTGAGTTGTATCTCAATAAGAATGTTTTTTTAAGAACTTCTATTAATAGTCAAGAAAAAAATTATCAAAATATTGGTGAATTTTCCTTTGCCATATCATTACCCAATTTGTAATCAAGCGGTAGCCCTATAAATAATTGTTTTTCATTTAAATTTACCCTCCATTAAAACAACTAAGCCTGCAGATTCACGATGCCCTGTGCCAAAGCTTGCTGTCTCAGAAGGTCAGCTCTTGCTCTGTCATGCCTTTTCAGCATGATTTGGAGGCTTTTGACTCTAGTGACATAAACTTGTGTCTTTCAAAAAGTGAGCATTTTGGAGGCCCACTGGAAGGAAGGATTATGAAGAATCCCAGGCTAGTTATATACTTAGTAATGGAGCTATGATAATGGGGGGAAAACCTAGCCTGACATCTTGGAATTTTCTGTCTATTAGAAGACGTGAATCAGGAGAATAATCTTTGGGGGGGATTTTTTTTTAACATGTCCTGATTACATAGAGGCTCCCGCGACTCACCTTTCAAACAAACCATCTCAAGTGTACCCTTTCCCATTCTGTGATTTTAAGGGATTTCCAAGCGTTGTTAATATACAATATCAGGCCCGGAAGGGGATTTTATAAGTTATCTAGTTTAACTCTTGATTTTTACATATGTCCATTTTGCCAGTAATACTGAAATACCGTAGTGTGTCATTATTTCTGAGGTGATTGTAACGTAGTACTAAGAGTAGCACTAAAATGGTAAATTGGAAGTGTAGTAGGGAATTTTGTTCATGTTAATTATTAGTGAAACCTGAATTTTAGAAATTTAATGCATTTGTTTCATTTCCCTTGAGTCAAAGTAAGACAAAAAAATGGTCATATATGTAAACTGTTTTAATCTCCTTGATAGATTTCCATTTATAAAAAGTAGTATCCCTATTCTAACCAATATTTAGTTAGTTTTGGTATTAACTGGAACTTTCTAAACATTTGTAGAAGATATATTCGAGTAGAGAAATTTTAAAACAAGGTGTTTTGCTGAATAGGAGGGAAAGAGGTTGGTCCCGCACAACTAGCACTGATGAGGATAGAAAAGTCAAATGAGAAATAAAAGCATGCATATGGGTCAGTGATTATGTTAGAGATGAAATGTGGATAGTATTAGGGTTTTCTTTTTTGTTTGATCAGTTTTATTAAGGTATAATTTATATATACCAAAATTTGCCGTTGTAAAATTCAGTGAGTTTTGAGAAACGTAGACAATTTATAATAACCTCCATAATCAAGATTTGGGATAATTATCTCCAGAAGTTCCCTGGTGCTTATCATAGTCACTTCCCTCTCCCCACTTCCTGGAACTGTTCATTTGCTTTCTGTTGGTATGGTTTTTCCTGTAAATTGCATGTAAATGGAAATCATGCAGTATGTAAGTTTTTTTCTTTCTACCCTTTTTCACTTAGCATAATATTTTTGAGATTCATCCATGTTGTTGTATGTATCAATAATTTCTTTTTATTGATGAATAGGGTTCTCTTGTCTGGATGTGCCCCTTTTTCCCCCCATTAATTTCCAGGTAATGGACACTTGAATTGTTTTCAGCAATTAGGAATAAAGTCATTATTAACATTTGTGTATAAGTCTTTACATTTATCTTCTATAAATAACAAGAGGGGGGATTGCTGAGTTGTAAGATAAATATGTGTGCTAAACTTTAAAAGAAGCTTGTTTTCCAAAGTGTTTATACCATTTGTCCATTCCCACCAGCCATGTGTGAAAGTTGCAGTTGCTCCATTTACTTGTTATGGTCAGTCTTTTTCATTTTAGCCTTTTAGTGGGTGTATACTCATGTCTCACTGTGGCTTTAAATTTGCATTACCCTAATGACTAATTAGATTGAATATCTTCATCTTTGTAACAGTGATACAGTAATACTGTCTAATCCATAGTTGGTGCTTAGGTATGTTGCTTGTTGCGACAATGTCCTTTATAAGCTTTTCCTTTTCCCGATCCAGTCCAGGATCACACTTGGGGTTTAGCTATCTTGTGTCCTTGGTTTCTTTTCATTTGCCAAAAAAAGCTCAGGGTTTTTTTGGTTTGTTTTTTTATCTTTCTTGGACCTCCACTTAAAAAAACTTAAGATTTATTATTTTGCAGAGTCTCTCTCTGTTTGAGAAATGCTTTATCTTTGTTTCCTTATGATTAGTTTCAGGTTATGAATTTTTGGCAAAAACATCACAAAAATGCTGCTATGTCTTCCTCAGTGGCTTCATATCAAGAGGCGTACTGTATGAATATCAGTGATGACTTTATGTGTTGCCCAAGGCATTTTTTGCTGATCCTTATATGAAGAATTTGCCTGTTTTCTTCATAGTTTTGTCTTTGGGGTTTAGATTTATGATTCAAAGTAATTTTTGAATGTGATCTGAGATAAGGATTGAGATTAATTTTTCCCTTTTTCTCTAGTTACTTTTCTTGTTTTTCTCTTTTCTATGTCTTTGATTCTGCACTTTGTTTTCCTACTTTCTTTGAAATTTAATTATTCTTTTCTAGCTTGAGGTGAAAACTCATCCATGACTTTAGACCTTTCTTTTCACATAAGTATTTAAAGCTATACATTTCTCTCTAAGTATTGCTGTAATGCATACTATGAATTTTGATGTATAATCTTTTATTATCACTTAGTTAAAAATATTTTCTAATATCCTGTATAATTTCTGTTTAGATCCATAGATTATTTAGAAGTATGATTTAGAAATATTTTGAACATTTATAGATATGTTCCTGCTGTTGATTTCTGATTTAATTGTGTGATTAGCAAACATACTGTTTCATATTTTACTGTTTTGAAATATTGAATCCTTGAGACTTATTTTATGGCCCAGAACTTGTGTTGGTGTTCCATGCGTACTTGAAAAGAATAAATATTCTGCCATTGTTGGGTGTAGAATTCTTCAGATACCAGTCAAGTCAAAAATAGTATAGTTTATGTCTCCTCTATCCTTACTGGTTTTTACCTACTTGTTCTATTATTAAGGAGAAAGGAGTATTGAAATCTCCGTCTGTAATTGTAGCCTTAGTTGTTCCTCCTTTTAGTTCTGTCAGGTTTTGCTTCATGTATTTCAAAGTTCTGTTCTTATATATGAGTATGACTTCCTGGTGTGTTGATCTTGTCATTATGAAGTGTCCATTTATATGTTTTGTAATACTCCTTTTCTGGAAGCCTATTTTGTCTAACATTAATGTTGCCACCCTAACTTTCTTAAGCTTACTGATACATATTTTCTCCCTGCTTCTCATCATAGACATAGCTTATCTATGTCTTTATTATCTAATAGTATCACTGCTGTCATTACTATCGTGTGGGTCAGTTTGGCAGACTGACTAGCCGCTTACAGATCAAATGAAATAGCATGGGAAAGTACTCGATGAAGTGTAAAGAAAGCACTATGAGATTACAAGGTGTGTCATAATTATATGCAGCTGTATCTATTAGGCTGGCTTTTTCAGATTTCATTTTGAATGTACAATATCTTTGTGTGTGTGCATTTTAAAGAAATGAATATTTTGAATTGCCAAAACAATAATAAAAGTGCATAGCCATATGTTTAAAATAAAGTCCTTCCAATGTTCTTATTAATTTTTGTCTGCTTTTTCCTTTTTTTAGGAACTGAAGAGATTTCAGAACTTTGTGAAATACTGTCCTCCTTTTGATATTGTCATCGATGGGCTCAATGTTGCCAAAATGTTTCCTAAAGCTCGTGAGTCTCAAGTTGTAAGTACAAGTTTTATTTTGTTATTCCAAATCTCTAGAAAATATACGGTGCACCCATTTGTGATCTTCCATGGAACTCATAGCTCCCCATTTTTCCTTCTTCTAAAAATAAGGTGCTATGGTACCCTTAACAGTGAGTGGCTCTTACAGGCTGGGCAAGAATGAAAGATTAAAAAGGTCAATTTTTTAAGAGTAAACCTAAAAGTAGTGGAAGATGCCTCTGATTTCCCTGGTTGATATTTTGTTCTTTGTCTCTCTACTTGCCAAAATCATCTAGAATTTTTCAAAATGTGCATATGTCCCTTCTATGACATGTAACCCTTAGCTAACTTTTTTTTACACCTCTCCTCTCTCTTTGGTGTTACTCTGTCATTTCCCTGTGGGCCACATTCCTCCCTCTATTTGAAAATTACCAACATATACTACCAAGAAATACAATAATTTATTACTCACATTTGTTTTTTCAAACATAGTATGTTTGTAAATTAACCTAAGCAGGTTTTTGTAAGGTAATCATTTGTTCAATCAATTTATAAATGTTGTAGTGTTTCTAAAAGGAATATCATGATTTTTTACAGCAACAGTGAGCAATTATTTTAATTTTCATTTTACAGTTTAGAAAATAAGAATTTGAAACTAATTTTGTATAGTAACTCCTTAGAAAGCAGTCAAGACATCAAAATTAGGTTGTAGAGAACTCCAGGGTTTCAGGCTTGTAACTGTTATCGCTGGCAATCTATGGCCATTCACCTGTAGTTAGACTGTTGTTTCTTTAAAATTGCTGCCAGTTTAAAAGCTTTTCCTCAGAGGTTCTACTAGTCCAGTTATGTCATTTGTACTCAGAAAAGCTCACAAGTACTAACAAAAGACAGGGTTGATTTGCAGAAATTTCTTTTTTTTTAAAATTTATTTATTTTATTGATTATGCCATTACAGTTGTTCTTATTCCCCCCCTTCATTCCCCTCCACCCTACCCCCCATCCCCACCATTACCCCCCCTTTAGTTTATGACCATGTGTCTCAAGTTCTTTAGATTCTATATTTCCCATACTATTCTTGCCCCCCCATCTATTTTCTATCTACTGTCTGTGCTACTTATTTTCTGTACCTTCTCCCCCTTCTCCTCCTCCCACTCCCCTGTTGCTAATCCTCCTTGTGATCTTCATTTCTGTGGTCCACTCCTGATCTAGCTGTCCTCTTAGTTTGCTTTTGTTTTAGGTGTGGTTCTTAATAACTGTGAGTTTGCTGTCCTTTCACTGTTCATGTTTTTTTAACTTCTTTTTCTTAGATAAGTCCCTTTAACATTTCATATAATAAGGGCTTGGTGATGATGAACTCCTTGAATTGGATCTTATCTGAGAAGTACTTTATCTGTCCTTCCATTCTAAATAAAAGTTTTGTTGGATAGAGCAATCTTGGTTGTAGGTCTTTGGATTTCATGACTTGGAATACCTCTTTCCAGCCCCTTCTTGCCTGTAAGGTCTCTTTTGAGAAATCAGCTGACAGTCTGATGGGAAGTCCTTTGTAGGTGACTGTCCCCTTACCTCTTGCTGCTTCTAAGATTCTCTCCTTCATTTGAATCTTGGCTAATGTAATGATCATGTGCCTTGGTGTGTTTCTCCTTGGGTCCAACTTCTTTGGTACTCTCTGAGCTTCCTGGATTTCCTGGAAGTCTATTTCCTTTGCCAGATTTGGGAAATTCTCCTTTATTATTTGTTCAAATAAGTTTTCCACTGGTGGCTGTGCCTTTCCCCCTTCTGGTACCCCTATAATTCGGATGTTGGAGCGTTTAAAGATGTCCTGGAAGTTCCTAAGCCTGTCCTCATTTCTTTGAATTCTTGCTTCTTGACTCTTTTCTGTTTGGCCATTATTTGCTTTCTTCTGGTCCATGCCATTGATTTGAGTCCCAGTTTTCTTTTCATCACTATTGGTTTCCTGTGCAATTCCATTCATTTCAATTAGTTTCGCCTTCATATGTTTGTCTAATTTGTGGCTATAATCAACCAGTTCTATGAGGATCCTGATCACCAGTGTTTTAAACTGTGTGTCTGAGAGTTTTGCTATTTCTTCATCGCTTAGATTTATAGGCTCTGGGGCTTTGAGATCTTCTTGAGCCATTTTTGGTCTGTTCCCGTTCATTAAGTGTGCGGAGCGGAGCCTTGGACTCCCAGGTTGCTGGGTTGTGATGCTGTATGTGGGGGCGTGGTCAGAGCGGGAAAAGGGGGTCCCCTCTGCTGTTTCTCGCCTGGGTGAGGAGCAGAGCCTGAGGTGGTTCACCAGGGCCGGGCCACTCAGAGTCCCTGGGTTATGACGCTGCATGTGGAGGTGGGGTCAGAGCAGGGAAATGGCGGTGCCCTCCGCTGCCACTTGCCCGTGGGGACCCACTGGGTCCCGGTCCAATCGCCCACTCCCTCGCTTGTCTATCCGCGCACTAATGCACGACCACAGTCAACCCGCAGCCCTGCTCCCTTGCTGTTTCCCTGCGGTCGCTGGGTCTCTCACTAGGTCCAACCCTGGGCCTGGATTCCTCGCGCCTGAGTCAGTCTGACCGAGTTTTCCTGTGCAGCCCCACTTCACCAGCCGCTGGTTTCGCCCCTTACCGGTCAGGCTGAAGAATTTGTTGTTAACAGACAGGCTGAAGAATTTGTTGTTAACAGACTTCCGAAAAGTTCAATTTTCTGTGTTCTGGCTGTGTTTTCTGTTGCTAATATTTAGTTGTCTCTAAACTTGGTTGTGTGAGAAAGCACGACGTCTCCACCTATGCCTCCATCTTGGCGGAAGTCTGCAGAAACTTCTTTATATGCCTTTTCTTTCTGTTTATGCATACTTTTGTGGTCAAGTAATATGTACTTATTAATCCTTTATTAAAAAAAAACAAAGCAAGTGGAAAATGTTTTTGTCTCTTATGTACTTCAAAAGGGGTCTTTGAGGCAGCAATATTGACAAAGGCAAAGCCAGAAAAGGAAACATGAAATTATCACTAATGCTTGGTAGAGCTCATAATCAGTGGGGCTCATTCTAAAAAGTTTGTTATCTCATCTAGTCTGCTAAATGGACACATATCATCATGATGAAACTGAAATGCCAAAAGCTCCATGTCCTAATCTGTAACCCAGGGAAAAATAGTGTCATATTTGTGTAGCTTTTATTTGACTTTCAACTTGGGCACACAAAGCGCTGCAAATTGGCTTGCCAGAAATGTATAGTCTGAATTGGGCTAACTTTTGCGGGGGAAAGTAAAATGTTGAAGATGATATAGTGGCATTAAGGAAGGAAAGTGTGCACAATTTTGAAAGATTCTAGCAGATTTTGGCAAATAGACAAAGAACAAAATATCAACTATGCAAATCATAGGCATCTACCACTACTTTTAGCTTTTACTCTTAAAGAATTTTATGCTGGCAACAGTTCATGTGACAAAAACATAATTATCATTACCCAACTGTACTACTATATATATATATATATGTATTTTTTTTTAGAGCACTGCTATATATTTTTAAAGATTTTTTTTTATTTTTAGAGAGAGGGGAATGGAGGGAGAGAAACATCAGTGTGATAGAGAAACATCAAATAAGTTACCTCTCACATGCCCCCAACTGGGGACCTGGCCCACAACCCAGGCGTGTGACCTGACAGGGAGTAGAACCAGTGACTTCTTGGTTCACGGGGTGGCACTCAGTACACTGAGCCACGCCCACCAGGACTAGGGCAGTGCACTGAGGTTATATTTGGGAAATCGCAATTCAGACTCAGTTTAGAGACACCACCTGGGAAAGAAAGGATAAAGTAAACTTCCTTCTAAAGTTTTTTGTCAAATCCCTATAGCTAGAGATTTGGAAAAATAATAATAAGTAATAATAAAGACATATCATATTTTCCATAGGCTCCTCCTTTAAGAAATTTTTTTTGGATAAATCTAAGGCCCTTTGTGGCTTAGTTTCATTTTTTTTTTAACACTTTCTAGGTTGTTAGAAGTGGTTTCCCACTTTTTCTGTTAGTCTTTTAAACAGCATCTTCATTTAGAAGTTAAGAATGAGGGTTCTAGAGCCAGACTAGCTTTCATAGTTTGAGCAAGTTACCTTCTTTGTGCCTTAGTTTCCCATCCTACAAGAAAGAGATAATAGTGGTACCTGCCTTATAAAGATGTTGTGAAAAGTAGAGCGGGATCTGGGGCCAAGCATCCACTACATCCAAGCATTCAGTGAGAGTGGGGAGATTTTGGAGGGTTCGATCAAAACCAGTGCATTTTAAGAACAAATGGAAACTTCTGGCCAAGATGGAGGCATAGGTAAAGATGCTTCCTCTCCGTACACAACCACAGCAAAAAATTACAAGTAAACTACAAAACAAATTTCACCCAGATTCGTCACAAAATTGAGCTGTATAGAAAGTCTGACAACCAAGGATTTAAAGAAACCATGTTCATCCCCATGGGTAGGACGGGCAGAGGCGTGGAGAGACACAGAGAAGCAGTACAACTGGTGATCCCACATTCAGATGTGGTGGGTAAAAATCAGGAGGGATGCCTTGGGAGTGTATGATCCTAGCCCAGGGTACCAGTGCCAGGAAGATAAGTCCCCATAACTTCTGGCCACAAAACCCAGTGGGGATTGGGTCAGCAAAAGAAACTATTCTATTCTCCAGAAACTTTTCTTAAAGTTTCTGCAATGGACTTAGGACTCATGTAGACCCACCTGCTCTGGAATTTAGCACCAGGGCAATGGGTGAAAGGGAACAAGTGGCATATGGAGAAAAGAGGAAAAAGTGAAGTGACTGGCAAGGGAGTGAGTGCTAGGAAGACAACTTCTTGGGCAAACTCCAAAGTCCAAGCAGCGGCATTGTCCCCTCTCTGAGCCCTCCCCCACACGGAGCCACAAAGTGGAGAAATGGGTTGTCCCACCCTGGAGACTACCTAAGGCTCTGCCCCACACATTTTACAGATGCCTTTTCTACAATAGGCCATGCTAGTAAGATAGGGAGTCAAAGCAGCTCTACCC